ACAGAGCAAGACTGTCTCAAAAAAAAAAAAAAAGGAGGAGGCTGAGCCTGGAAGGAAGTGCCCAGCTGGGCAGTGCCCCTCTGCCCCAGCCTCTCCGTATGCTGAGGCTGCCCCCCTGGCCCCTCAAAAGTACAGTGAACCGGGGTATGGCCCCGGTCCGTCCTCTCCCTGGGGCTCACCCCGATTGATGAGATGATCAGAGAGAAACCCGCTGAATACACTGGCAGGAATCGCCACCAACCAAGGCACCACGTTGAAGATCCAGCCCTGCAGGGAGGAGCGTGGCCTCAGAGGGGCCATCTGGAAAAGGATACTCAGGCTGGCCAGCCCCCATGCCCACCAGTGCCCAGCAGGGCCAGCCCCACCCCTGGGCTTGTGCAGCTCTGGAGTCTTGACCATTGCCCGGGAGGGCAGCAGGACAGCCTTGGAGAAGGAGCCGTGCTGACCGCAGGTGACCCCTCTGTCCGCATCCTGGCTCCTGCACCGGCCTCTGCGGACCCTGAAGTCAGGCTCTGCAGGCCAGCAGGTCACCGTTGTGAGCTGGAAGGGCTGCAGCCGCAGCAGGAAGGCATGGAGCACCCACATTATTTTCAGATTCAAACACGGACACCTGCCCCGTGCCCGGACAGGGTCCTCTCCAGAGGAAGAGCCCGGCGGTTCCAGGACCATCAGAGTCTGGGAGGAGCTGAGGGTACCCCCATCTGCAGGCGAAGGACCCAGGGCACCTGGAGCAGCTCAAGCCTCATGCCTTCTGGGCACTCCGCCCCACGGGAGCCCCCAGCTGGGCTTACCTTGGCGTCGGGGAAGGTCTCCTTGAAGAAGGTGGGCAGCCAGGAGAGGAGGACGAAGAAGGAGCAGGCCGCAGACAGCTGGGAGAAGACGGTCGCCCTGCGGGGCCAGGCAGCAGACCGTGACTCTGGCGCCACGAAGGCTGGGGAGCCTGTGGGACCCACCCCTCTCCCCTGGGGACCAGAGCCCCACCTCTGAGCCCTGGGCCTCAAGGCCTGTCGGGTCCAGCCAGGCTCACACCCCATGGTCACCAGCCCTGCCGCTGCTCTGAGGGGCTCACCAGACAGCAGGCTTCCGGAAGAGCCGCCTCCAGGGGACTCTGCTGTGCCTGGTCACCAGCAGGCCTGGGGCCAGGACACCCGAGGCCGGGACAAGGTCTGTGGGAGCAACAGTTTCAAGGTGATGGCTAGCAGGGCGGGAGGCGCTGTCCGTTCTCAAAGGACTGGGGATTTGGGGGCGGTTCCAGACGGGTCAGCAGGCCTCGCCCACACCCCAGGCTACACACAGGCACCAGCCTCCTGTGTCTTTCCCTACCAGACACCAAAAGGGCAGTGTCACCTTTGAGAACCGTGTTCTGAACGCCCTCCCCACGTTCAGGGGCTTTGGGGAGCCCCTCTGGGCCACCCACAGACTCGGCTGCTCCTGCACCCCCCCGTGACCTGAGACCAGCAGGTCTTCCCGGAAGTTTCCCTAAATGGAAACTTCCAGACTGAATTTGGTGGCAGAGCTGCTGAGAGCTCAGCGCCCAAGCGCCTTTCCTCGGGCTGGAGTCTGGTGGGTTCTTTGGGAAGTCAAAGCTGCCGTCTCCAGGCCCCTGAGCCGCCGCGGGAGGAGGCACCGGACGGCCTGGCTGCCCAGGACGAGCCCGCCCGGCCTGCGTTACCTTTTCCACTCAGCAGGTACCTGTACACGTACCACACCCAGAGGAGGGTGAGGCTGCCGGAGAAATAGAAGACGCTCGGCCAGCCGCACCATTCCAGGAGCAGGGAGCCCACCGCCCCGGTCAGCAGCGTCCTGCAAAGACAGGGGAGCGTGGCCAGGCCCCCTCGGGCAAGGACGGCCTCTCAGAAACCCCACCCTGGTGCAGGCTGAGCCCCTGGAAAAGGGTGCTTTCATCGCCTTTAGAGAGCAGCTCCGAAGCCCCCATCCTGGCCTATTTTGTGAAGGATTTCGGGTATTCAGCGGACACAGGCTGGGGCAGATTTGGAGTCAGCCACGCGTGTCCCAGTCAGGGGCGACAGCTGCAGAACTCAGGCAGCTCCTCACATCCTGCTTCCAGGCCTTCAGGCTGGCCTGGGCTTCGTCACGCGGATCCTTTTAAACTAAAAACGGCAACGGGGAGGAGACGGCGATGAGAATATTCTACAGTGACGCTGTACACGGTTCTTGTGCTTCAAACATGATTGAGGATAAACTTCAAAAACATTTCTAGATGCAAGAACTCCACAACAGCCAAATCCTACAACCCCATCCCCTGTCCCCACGATCTCACTGTCCCAAAGGTGCACTCGCAGGCTCCCTGCTGGGTGCAACCTGGCTGGCCCCAGCCCCCATCTGCTGTTCCATTGGCACCAGAGAAAGAGTTACCATCACGGCAAAAAGAGGAAGACAGGGAGAGACCCAGAGCGGGGCCTGGCATCCAGATGGGGCCTCCTTCCTCCTGCTGAGCCTCTGTGGGCGGGCACAGCTCCTGGCAGCCGGGCTCAGGCTTGGGCACCAGGGCAGGCTGGGGGCAGCACTCTTCCTGCCCCTCCCAGCCCGTACTCTACCCCCTCTCTGCTCCCCACCCGAGTGCAGATAAAGCGCAGGACACCCTGTGAACCTGGGTTTCGGGTCAGTGAGGACTCATTCTTTCTTTTTTTTTTTTTTAAAGATGGGGTTTCATGTTGGTCAGGTTGGTCTTGAACTCCCGACCTCAGGTGATTCACCCGCCTTGGCCTCCAAAGTGCTTGGATTACAGGCGTGAGCCCCCGCGCCTGGCCGACTCATTCTTCAGTAGAAGTATCTCCCCTCTGGTTTATCTGAAATTCACATTCCTCTGGGCAGTCTGTTTTTATTTGATGACTCTGTCACCCTAGGCCTGCCTGGGGCTGCCCACAGCCCCACCCACAGGAGCCGCCTCCACCCCTCTGAACCTCAGTAACTTGAGGGTCTGAGCCCGGCCACTGAGAAGACCTTGGCGGCTCAGGCACCTGTCCACCCTGCTACAACCATTGGGAAGGCCTCCCACCCCAGGCCCAGCCTCGACCAGGCCGCCAGCATCACTAGAGGGTCTGGAGCTGCCCCAGGAGCGGTGCTGGGAAGGAAGACTGAGGGGCACAGGGTTGCTGCGTTGTGGTTGAGGACAAGTCGCCCTCCAGCCAGCTGAGAGGCCCACCCTGGCCAGGACGCTTGGGGTTCACAGACTCTCCTGTCAGGGCAGGGGCAAGGGGAGCAACAGAGGGTGGGGAGAGCTTCTGGCTTTGTTAGCACAGATGAAAGGAAATGAGGTGATGTGGCCACTCCCCCAGTCCACGTCCCCAAGTCCCAGCCTCATCACCTGCAGCCACCCCAGAAAGGCAGAACTATGCACCAAGCAAGCACAGTGCCTGGGGCGTGCACCTGCAGAGCACGGCCTCGGGCTGCGGAGTCCAGACGACGCCCCACCCCGGGTGGCCCTGCAGGCCCACCTGACCCATCTCCTACCTGGACCAGGGGCCACCCAGCAAGGGGCTCACCTGGTGGCCTCTCCTGGGCCCCGCCTGAGGCCAGGACTTACCCAAACTGGGAGCCAGCGCCCACGGTGCTGTAGGTGAAGGCTCGCTCGCTCTCCCGTACCTTCTGCGACAGCAGGCTGGTCAGGGCAGGGAAGTAAACCCCTGCAACGAGTGGAGGGAGGGTCTCTGGGGTCCATGTAGGGAGGCTGGCCCGGCCCGTCTGCTCAGGTGTGGGCTGATTCCAGAGGACGTCCACCGGTCCCTCTCGCTCACCTCACCCACCCAAGGAACTGGCAGGGCGGGCTTTTGGTGCCAGAGGAAACAGGCTCCTTTTGGACGAGGCAGGCTCAGGGTTGTGCCATCCGCATCGCTGTGGGAAACAGCCCTGCTTCCAAGCCAGCCCTCCCACTCACGCACGTACACAGGTGCGAACTCACCAGCCTCACACTCCCCAGACACAGACACACACTTTCCCACGCAGATAGACACACACTCCCCACACACAGACACACACTCCCCCACGCAGACACACAGTC